TGTGGGGCTCGCATGGGGAAATTCACGTTGACCAGATCAAATCTGTAGGAGCTTCAAGGCCTTCTCAGTTCTCATCCAACCCTGTTTCCCTCACCAACATCTGGGGAGTGAGCCTCCTGTCAAGTTCACTTGTTTCTTTGAGCCATCATTCTTCCAATGGTCTTCTTCCTTCCATTAAGTTTTGAACCTAGGACCCACATACCTTATTCACCAAAGGCCTTCTTCCTTCCTTAGGTCACCATCTTCCTCCCAAAGCCAGGTACAGCCACTTGGTTTCTTGCTTTGGGCAATCTCTCCTAGTCGAGAGGGACTCATTCCCAGGGCACCATCTGTCTTTTTTAATTTCTTTAATGGGTACAGGGAACTTTGCTCTATGAAAGTCATTTTTATCATATTCAGATTATCTGGGTTTTCTGGATCTACATCTGCATAACACTGGCAGGCTTCATAGATTCTCCCTTAACAGAGTCTGGCCAGGTTTTTGTAAGACTCTTTGACCTTATGGAGACTTTGTTTAGAAGCGCCAGGCTCAATAGGGTCCACCTAATTTGCCTCCAATGTACTAGCAGGATCCTCCACAGGGAGACTGTGTGCTCTCCGGCTTTGTCAGTGACCATCTTCCTTTCCTGTGAGCATGCTATTCACCAGAATATAAATGTCTGCCTACCTCGGGTGGTAATTGATAAAAATGGAGAAAGAGAACTCAGCCCCTCCTACTGAGAAGATCCAGTCCACAGGACTATTTTCCCAATTAAATCCATCAGAAATAGAAATGGGCTATGCATCCTTACACGTCTAGTAGGTTGCCTCTGAACACTTGCCGCATCAGGAGGGGAAAAACCCATCCTTCAGGGTTTCTAATTACATTTCAAGCTCCCAATTACCTTTCAGACTCCATACCTTTGTCAGGAGAGGCCTGCCCTCTTGGGAGAGGGGGAACAGTTATTGCTGGCCACCAGCAGAGGGCTGGGCGTCACAGCTGTGGTAGGAAAGTGCCCCTGCAGCTATATGTGATGCTTCTAGAGGTGAGGGTTTAAGTTATTGATTAATCTCTCTCCAGACTAGCATCAAGTCATAAGGGTGGGGTCTTACCTGACCTCTGAACCACAATAGTGTTCAACATATCTTTCTCTTTCTCCAAATAATGCGAGTCTGAGAGAAAAAGATGACATTCCTTATAACTGTAGTGTACTAATTAAGTGACCCATTCATGAGGCACTTTTCCCCCCCGATTCCATGGCATATTGTGGCCAAGCTATAGTGAGATAAAATACCATTTGTTTTCTTTTTGGTCATAGGACTAAACTATAATCAGACTATTTTGTTAGGAGTCCTATTTGGAACCGATGGCGAGTTCGCCATTTTGATAAAAGTGAAAACAGTTATGAGCACACAGTCTGCATGTACTCAGAGAAGTATAGGCAGAATAAGGGAACCACACACACACAATCTACCAGAATCAGAGGTCAAGACCACAGATTTCAGGATAAAAGTCCTACAACTATTCCGTCTCCTACAGTGCTCTCAGAAAACCAGATGAGCAGACTTCTTTTGAAGTGAGTCTAATGAGGGAGAGAGGAGAGAGTTCTCAAGAGTACACCTCAAGATGACAAAGTACCCATTCTGATGCTGCAGATCATCTTACCTGAGGCTATTTCTTAATCTGCTACTGAGGGGCTATGAGGGTAACCCTCCTGAAGATGAGAAAAGGAACAGGTTGTCCCCAGGACTAAAGTGGCCTTGGTAGCTGCCAGGGACTTATCCTTCTACTCCCCAACCTGGGTCCAGTCCACAGCAGCAAAATCCAGCCTCACAGTGGGCGCCAGTTGTAACTGTACAAGGTTTTGTTCTGCCTCCTGATAGTCAATAAATGAAGAGCAGAGTGATGGAGGGAGAAAGAGCTTCATTAACATGCCAGCATTATTAGAAGATGCCATGCTGTCCCCTTCAGTGACCATGTTGCCCCCTGCCCTAAGGGAGAGTTTAATATGATTTTTCAAGGAAAGACTCATGGAAAGCTAAGCAAATACCAGAGAGGTGGAACCTCTTCTGAAATGTGGGCTAGGTCAACATCTTATCTGGATCATATAGGTCAGTGAGAGTTGCAATCCAGGGGGTCTGAAGATGACACTAGTAATCAGTACAGAAGCTTTGACCACTGGAGTGGCTGGTGTCTTGTTTTTGCTGTGGGCAGCATTTCTGGCAAGCACACTTCCAGGTATGACCTTCTCCCATAACTTGGGACTAGGGAGTATCTGGTAAGGGAGGGTTTGGGACACGCCTAGCTAACTTTAATATGCAGTTGATCTGTAAGTGATAGAGTATGTAAAAGCAAAAAGAAACTTCTGAGAATTGAGTCTCATTCAGTGGGGAAGGGCTTATGTGTGCTTTTAATGTTACATATAGGAAACCCAAAAAAGATTCCTCCAAAAAGCCATTAGAACTAATAAATTCAATGTTGCAGAATACAAAAGTCACATACAAAAATAATTAGTGTTTCTGTATGTCAATAGTGAATTATGTGAAAAAGAAAGAAAGCAATTTCATTTCTAATAGCTACCAAGAAAAATAAACTATCTAGGAATAAATTTAACCACAGGGGTGAAAGATCTCCATAATGAGAAATATAAAACACTATTAAAGAGAGAATGCAGAAAAAAAATATCTGGGTTGCATGGACCTTTTAACAATATTGATACTTCTAATCCATGCACAAAGTGATCTTCAGATTCAGTGCAGTCCCTATCAAAGTATCAATTATATTCACAGAACTAGAAAAAATAATCCTAAAATTCATATGAAACAAGAAACTCAAAATGGCCGAAGCAGTATTTTGATTTCAAAATATACTACAAAGGTGTAGTGATTAAAGTGGCATGGTATTAGCATATAATAGACCTACATATCAGAATGAGACAAAATATAGAGCTCAGAAGTGAACCCACACATCTCAAGCCAACTGATCTTCAACAGAGGTGCTAAGAAAGCACATTGGGGAAAAGTGGTCTATTTGGGAAACTGGATATCCAAGCAGAAGAATGAAGCTAGACCCCCATCTCTCAATAGTTACAAAAGCCTTGGGGCTTGGGATGTGGCTCAAGTGGTAGCGAGCTCACCTGGCATGCATGCGGCCCAGGTTCAATCCTCAGCACCACATACCAACAAAGATGTTGTGTCCGCCAATAATTAAAAAATAAATATTAAAAATTCTCTCTCTCTCTCCTCTCTCACTCTTTAAAAAAAAAAATAGTTACAAAAGCCAAGCCAATATGGATTAAACACTTAAGTATAAGACCTAAAATTAATAGAAGAAAACAGAAAATGTTCAGGACTTTGGATAACACTCAAAAGCAGAAAGAAAGAAGAAACATAGCCTACAGGAGCAGAGAAAATATCTGCAAAGCCTACATCTGATGAGGAGTTAATAATCAGGATATGTAAGAAACAACTCAAAACACAGAAAACAAACCATAGATAATCCAATTTTTAAAATGGACAGCAGATATAAATAGGTGTTTCTTAACACAAATGGCCAACGTGTGTGTGAAAAAAATGCTCAACATCAGGCACTCTCTAGGAAATACAAATCAAAACCACAATGAAGTATCCCTCCATTTAGAATGGCTGCAAACAAAGATCATGGAGAAAAGGACACCATTATAAGCTCTTGCTGGGAATGTAGATTAATAAACCCATTATGGAATGGAAGTCCACAAAATTAAAAATAGAACTACCATATGACCCAGCAACCCTGCTACATTCAAAAGAAATCAGTATGTGGAACAGACACCAGCACTCCCATATAGATGGCAGCATTGCTCACAATAGCCAAGAAATAGAAGCAACCTCAGTTTACATAGAGTGATAAATGGATTTTTAGAAGGTACCTATACACAATGGAATAGTATTCATCAATTAAAGGGGCGAGATCTTGTCATTTGTGGCAGCATGGATGGAATTGGAAATTCATAGACATTGAGAGTAGTATAGTAGTAACCAGAGGCTGGGAAGAGTATGGAGAAGGCAGGAATGAGGGAATATTGGCAAATGGACAGCGAGTTATGATTACACAGGCAAATTAAGTTGTTCGAATGTTCTTTTGCACAGTAGAATGAATACAGGTCTTGACAATATCCTGTATATTTCCAAAACATTACAAGAAAGGACTTTCTTTGCACCACAAAGAAATAATGTTTAGGGGAGTAAATATGTATTGAAACATCACATGGTACCCTAAACATGCAATTTTTATGTATTTTTTTAAAGTCAAATTTAAAATTTCTCCTGCTTCACTGGCCATTCCTTCTCAACGGCTTTGCCAGTCCCTTCCTCCTTCCTTCTCAATGATCCTGGGATTCATTCCTTTATGGTCATCTTTTTACCCTCTTGGTAATCTCTCGCACTCTGTTCACTTTAAATACCAACTATATGCCAACAGACCTAAAAATTGATATTTTTAGAGTATTCTTCTCCGGAGTCCAACCCAAGAATCTAGCTGCCTAGTTTTTCTTCGAATATCTCATAGATCTTTCAATTGTATGCCACACATTCCTATATTTTCTTACATCCATTTCCAATAGTCTTCCCATAATCCATCCCATCCAGCCTGCCCCCTCTTGATTTTGGCAGCTCTCTCTCACCAGTTTCTCTATCCAGAGTTCTTAGAGCCTCTTGGTTATTTTTCTCTTTTTTCCTCAACCCTAGAAAAAGGGCACACAAAGTATAACAACCAAATTGAGTGTCCTGTTTTTTTAAAAAAATTCAATGTGTGTTTTGAGGGCCTTCATTTCATCTTTATCCTTTATAACTGATGTGTCCCACGTAGGGTGATGCATTCTTTTCAACATAACAAATCTGTACCTTTCTAAAGTAGCAAAGAGATGTTCATTCCATACCCTGGCATGCACACAGCATGTCCACTATCTTGACCAGATATACCACAATGACAAGCAAACCCTCCATTTCCTTGTGACTGACATTTTTCTTCTTCTCTCCTGCAGCACATCATCTACTCTGTGAAGTTTTTAATTTCCTATATCATTCCGGATGTATCCAAAAGCACGAGGAGCAAAATCAAGAGAGAGAAGTACCTAACCCAGAAGCTACTGCATGAGAGTCACCTCAAAGATATGACGAAAAACATGGGAGCTATAGCCGAGAGGATGGTAGAAGTGGTAGATAACAATCTACGACCAAAATTAGAATGAAAGCTTTATGTTCCGAGAAGCACTTTAAAGAATTTAGCTCTGTCAAAATATATTATGAATCACTAATGAGAATGTTTAAGTTGAATCACTTGGGCAAATGTGAACGGTTAACTTTTGCCATTTTCATGTATTTTATTTTTCAGTTTCAGCTAGTGATGCAAAAACTGAAGAATATAAAACATATCAAGAAGGGCATAAAACTAATCACCTGGAAAACCTAATATGCTACCTTCTTTGGTAAATTGGAATTTTAGTAACCCAGTGTGCTTAGCAGCCACCCCTTGAAAGCAGAATGGATCCTTTTTTCTGTTTGATTACTTTCATCCCTTCCTATTCTCAAGCACATGATCTCCTTTATTTTTAGGTAGTGTTTTTTAATCTCTTTAGTTCACCAAATATAGTCCAGTTATCTTTTTCTTACCATAATTAAAGACTAGACATGCTACCACTTTAATAGCTTTTATACAATTAAAAACATTGCTTACTCAGAATTGAGTTTGAATGCAGTATTAAGTGGCAAGTAGAATTCTTAATATTTAGGTGTATTATCGCATCCCTACAGAAAGAAACCTCACATAATAGGGAGTAATTTGTCTCCATTTTGGCCCGTCTTTGCGTGTCAAAGAAATGTTCGTAGTGGACTGAAATGACAATAGCCAAGTTTTGAAACTTTTATATTAACCCATAGTGACACCTTCTACCTTCTAGGATCACTCCTAGAATGATCTGTGCCTCATCAATGGTGACTGCCTTGCAGATCTCAAGGGAATAAAGTGACAAAAGTAGGGTTAGTTACAGATTCAAATAGAAGTGTAACTCTGTTCAATCTGGATGACTAAGTTGCCTCTTCTAAAGATGTGTAGTTTCTTGGGAGAAAATGATAATCGAATGATTAAAATTACATTTTTATCACATAACGTTCTGGAAAAGAGAAGCCCATCAGATTCCCGCCAGTCAACTTTTATTCACCAAACACAGGAGGTACATTACTGCAAATCACTAAGCGCCTTTGCAAATAGCTCACGGTGTGGCCTTCATGGCATAACCATGCTGTGTGGGCTCCAGGGGCAGCAGGTGCCCTAACTGTGAGCCACACCACTGTGGACTTGTGTGGAGAGCCCTTTCATCAGGGGTGCAGCCTGTCTTCGTTTCTGTATGCCAAAGTGATCGACATAACAAAGCAGTTGCCCCCATGAACATGTCTTCCTGCACCTTCCACCCTCAGATTCTGGGCCCTGTAACTCATTTGTAATTGGATGTTTGCACTAGAAATAAGCATATTCAGATTGTTAATCGAAAAGGGAAACTCTGGATTTGATTTCAGCTTGCAGCCTCCTCTAGGGCCAAGTAGGAAGTTAAGGGTAAAAAGGAACGATTTGGTCACAAACCCTACCATCAGCTGGAGGTCACATCCTGAAGTCCTGCACCACTATGCTTATCTTACTCTCAAGTTTTGCTCCGCTAGCCGTCCACTGTGCTTTACTGCCTTTTAAGAGTCAGGCCCTGCGGTAGGTCTGGAAAAGACACAGGGCCTACACTTCTTCCTGTTGGCTGGTTAACAGGTCAGTGCTGCGTGAAGAAGGCTGTTCCTGCTGCATGGGCCTCTACCCACTGGGATTCTGTTAAATGCTCAGGTGCCCTAGGAAACAACCTATCAGTATCCCAGCAGGAAAGGGAAGTGAAACATGTTTCAATAATCAGATACAGATCGCAGTTTTTAAGAGCCTGCCATCATGAATGTTTCAAAATTTAAAAAAGCAGTATTCTGAGCTTTTGCATTGCCCCAATGGATCATAGACATTTCTCCACCTTCCTTTATCATGCATGTTAACAGTGTGGTCAGAGAGCCCAAAGCAGGCCATATGAGATCTCGCTGCACTGGGACAAGAGATGAATGTCTTCCCACTGGAGGGAACTATTTCTCATTTCCGCACAGCCTAGGTGGAGCACCACTGTTCCTTTTCCCACCCTCTGAGAGACTGCTCCTGGAGGTGCGTGTCGCCTTCTCTCTTATTACCTCTTCTCTGAAGTATGTGACTATCTCCTAGCATTTGATTCATCAACTACTTACTGTTTATGTCATCATAGAAAAAGAAATGTTTTTGCCTTATCTCTTTGTATATACTATAGAATTTTTTTTTTAAATGTGCATTTATGTGTTTATAGCCCCAGCTGAGAGAATCCTCTTCAGAGTTTAAAAATGTGCTGCTATGGACAGGGGCTTTAAAACCCTCACATTTCTAAAAGCAGAAAATGATGTCTGACACTGCCAAGATGCCCAAAAAAGCTAACTTGCAGTGGAGACCAGGGTCCCCCATAACTTCAGCAGTGTTCATGTGTCTAGTGCTACTTGTCAGAGAAAAATGGACTGTGATTGCATCAGCAAATGGGAGAGATGCCCCCTTCTCCCAGGAGCACCAAGGGGCATGGAAGTTGGCCTGTGACGGGAGGATCTGGCCCTCAACCTGTTCAGTGTTAACCACTATAAAAATTTTAGCTTTATATCCTGTGTATTGCCTGTGAGATTTAATGGATTGAAGCATTAGACCCACTACTCAGGGGATTTTTCTTTAAACTCCCTCAGATATTTTAGATATCTCAGTAGAAATGAAAAGCCATCATTTTTGTTTTGAAACTAAACAAGGCCGTCTTGTAAAATGTTTGTCACAAAATACCCGCCTTTGTATTACATGTGCATCTTGGAGTTCACAGAACATTAATTCACAATAGGGGGCAGAATGTGATCTGTTGGTGAAACACATCTTGTACCATTTTCTTGTGTTCATATTATAATGTGTTTGAAAAGTTAAAGTGTCTGAGCAACTTAACTAAAGAGGAACTGAAATATTCATACTTTTCCTACACTGTGGCAAAAGATGTAAAGTTTGTAATTAATGTTAATTTCTATGCATTTTAATATTCTTTTATAATTATGAGCATTTTAATAAATTCATTTTTACAGACAGTGCTCTGTTCTAGTGCATAAATTTCCTAAGAATGAGAACACCTTTATATGCCATTTATTAGTGACCAGTTATGTATCACTTAGCAAATATGTACTTTTGTGTAAATTATATCTAAAATTGTATTTTCACAGTCTAAATTTACTTTAGAACATAGTTTTTCCAGGAAAAATTTGGGATGGGGTTTCAGACAGAGCTGCCACATACAGATGTTGGAATTGAGCCCTGCATAAGACCCTGAGCACCAGCCTCAGGTACTCCCAGTGCAGCTACCAGTGGACGGAAGGGTGCTTTTCTTCAATTCCGTGAAGGCATCTTCACTTGCTAAACCAGGGTTGCAAGGAACAATGTCACACAGGAAGGATGAGTCACTGAGTACAGAAAGACTCTGTACCTAGAGTCATACAGAAAGGGGAATTTGAGAAGAACATATAGGATAATCTCATTACAAAAATAAAACCTTCAATAGCATGTGGATATCTTGAGAGGACAAGGTGGCTGAATAGAGGGGGCCCAGCATTCACTGTCTTCTCCACAAAGAAAAACCAACATAATAAGTGTATAGCTGGATTTGGAGGCGAGTGGCCACTGGAAACGAGCAGGAGAGACTAAAACCTGGTAAGATTACGCTGGAACAACAGCATCGTAAGAAGAACAAAATCTCTTTGCATCTGTGGAGCCAGGATCCACAGCCAGGGGAGCTGAAGGAGTTCCCCCTTTGCAGGGGTAGGGGTTAAAGAGCCCCAGGGGAGTGTGGGTGCTGGCAATCCCAACACTGGCTCACTGTCTTACAGGCCAGGGAGGTAAGTATTCTGAAATTTGCATAATTGCTTTGTTTTGGGATCTCAAATCATCTCCTATGTAACCTCCAGGGTGCCATAGCCTGGAGCCATACTGAGAAGGAAGCTATTGTCTGAATTTAGACTGCTCTAGGTCAGAAATCCCTGCAAAAACTCACCTCTGGAATTCCACAGGCATTCCACTGTACTGTCTTATGGAATAGCTGCCCCATGAGCACAACTTGGCCCAGCATAGTAACTTTGACCCAAGCCCACTAGGTGCAACTGCACTGTAGGGGACAGGAGTTACGACACAGAGGATGCTCCACTCAAGAACCACAAAAGCAAGTTCACCCTTTGAAACCAGGTCTGAGGCTTGCTGAATGTAGACTCTCACCAGGAATGAAGGCAGGCACCCCCATGGCTCTGGCCTCCTCTCTCCACTACCCCATGCTCAGGGCCTGTTACAAAACAGGGAGGGAATGCCTCAGTTTCATCTCTGGTCCTACTAGTAAGGACCTAGCTGAGAGTCCTTTAAGCAACTCTAGCTCCAGCGGTTGCCCTACAACCAGGCATGCACAGCTGGGATAGGAGGATGGGA